CGGTCGCTGTCCCTGCGCTTCGCTTGCTTGTCGTCCCCGCCCGTGCCAAACCTCGATTCCTCTTCCCAGCCCGAGCGCGTCACTCTCAGTCCCTCAGTCCCGCCCGCCTCGTCTCTGCTTCCTGTCCCCGCCCGAGTTGTTTTCTGAGTTCCTTCCCGCTCGCCCGCCCGCCCGTGTCTTCCACCCTCACAGTCCTTCAGCTTCCGTTTACCCTCCGCAAAGTACAGAGTTCACGTAGTGTGGATCTGAGCTGCCCGTAACTGTCCTACTGCAGGGTGTGGGAGAGGGGTGACATTTCTGGGAACAATGCCTCAGCTACCCCAACAGGGGTGTGAGTGACTACAGCAGCTCCAGCTTATTATCTCTACAGTAAGGGGTCGGGACACCAGGTAAACGGTTCCGTGCCACGGCTGAGACCTCAGCTCCTGTCGGTGACTCCCATGGTGGCGCGCCCACGCTCACAAGCACACCGGCCGGCCGGGAGCGCAGCCTCACACAGACATCAGAATGCACAGTCCGGCCGGCCACGGGCTGAGGCCGCCTACCAGGCCCAGGCTTGGCATTCAGTCCCCAGCCTGGCAGGATGCGGACCGCAGGGTGACACGGTCGGGGGAGCCTGACCTGCTCGCACGGAGCTCTCAGTCCTCAACTCAGGAAGAAGCAGATCCTCAGCAACGTAGCGAGTTCACCGCCACTGTGGGTTAAACCAGACCCTGTCTCAAGAAAAAGTGGACCAAGCTGGAGAGATGGCCTTGCCATTAGGACCACAGTTCGGTTCCCGCACCCTGCAACTGCAGCTCCAAGGGACACCACAACCTCTTCCGAATACACCTGACACTTAAAGTACACAACCATAAGTAAAAATTAAAAGTAGATCTTAAAAAATAAGGTGGTGCACGCCTTTAACCCCAGCACTCGGGAGGCAGAGGCAGGCGGACCTCTTAGTTCAAGGCCAGCCTGGTCTACAGAGCGAGTGCCAGGATGTTATACAGAGAACCCTGTCTCGGGCAGGAAAGAAAAAAGGAAGGAAGGACGGAAGGAAGGAAGGAAGGAAGGAAGGAAGGAAGGAAGGAAGGAAGGAAGGAAGGAACACTGTCTGAAAGTCGCATGGGTGTGTGTGAGGGGGTTCTGGGGGTGGAACGCAGCAAAGTCCCGCTTGCCGGGGACATGCTCTTCCAGAAGCCAAGGCTCTAGGAGGCCTCCCTTTTTTCTGAGCCCCGGACTTTAAGTTGGTGAGGTCATGCGTGCTTGGGTGAGCGTGGGGAGGGCAGAAGACAACACGAGGGAAATTGATATTCTTCCCCCACCGCGTGGGTCAGTACCATAACCCACGGAGCCACGTCGCAGGCCCCGGTCTCCCAACTCTTCAGAGTCCCGAGTGGCCCACTCTGAAAGACTGTGAGCCCAGGCTAGGCAGGGCCTCAGGGTGCTGCTTCTTAGTGCCCATTATACAAAGGACATCTGCTGTAAACGTGCTAAGAAGGGACCACGGGAGACGGGCAACGTCACTGTTCCTGTGTCACAGACTGCAAAGTAGGGCAGAGAAGCTGAGGGTTTTGAGACTGTAGCGGGTCCCGCTGCGTGTTCTTAAAGGGCGCCCGCCCGCGCCGGCCCAGAACCAGAGAATTAGCCGTGCAAGGGTGGGCGCTCCCGAGGCCCCGCCCGGTGCGGGGGATCCGAGCCCGGCCTTCACCCCGCAATTCTGCCTTGTCCTGGGTCAACCTGAAGGCAACCCCGGGCCCTTTCCGGGAGTCACCCGCACACATGGGGCCTGCGGCCACCGGGGCCTCGGAGAGGGCGGGGAGGCGGCGCTGGACCGCAGCCTCCTGGAAGGCTTCCTGGCTAAAAATGCTTGCCCAGGAGCTGCCCGGCAGAACTGCAACTGCAGAGATCCCGGAAGGGCCAGGAAGAAACTTCCCAGAAAGTTTGGACCAGATCGTCCCTGGTCTAGGGCGTGGCTTTCCCCGGAACTCATCCCCTGCGGTCATTAAGATGCTTTGAGCTTCCGGTGTCTACCTGGGCACTCTCTCTCTCTCTCTCTCTCTCTCTCTCTCTCTCTCTCTCTCTCTCTCTCTCCTGCCCCTGTCTCTCTCTGTGTGTCTCTCTCTCTCCTCCCTCTGTCTCCCTCTCTCTCTCTGCTGCCTCTGTCTGTCTCTCCTCCCTCTCTATCTTTCTTCTCCCTCTCTCTGCTGCCTCTCTCTCTGTCTCTCTGTCTCTCTCTCTCTCCTGCCCCTGTCTCTCTCTCTGTCTCTCTCTCTGTCTCTCTCTCTCTCCTGCCCCTGTCTCTCTCTCTCTCTCTCTCCTCCCTCTGTCTCCCTCTCTCTCTCTGCTGCCTCTGCCTGTCTGTCTCTCCTCCCTCTCTTTCTTCTCCCTCCATCTCCCCCAGCCTCCCTCTGTGTGTGTGATTATGCCTGGATTTTATGTGGGTTTTGAGTATTGAACCCAGATCCCCATTCTTGCATGGCAAGGACATTACTGACAGCCATCTCTCCAGCTTTCCCAATTGCTTCAATCACTTTTTATGACAGAGAAATCCTTTAACCCGGGTTCATTTTTTAGTGTTGTAGCCTTTGTCAGTAGTTAATTTCTCTAAGGCATTCTTTCTAAAGTGAAATATTCTATTCTTGGTGCCAGACCTCAAAGGAATAGTATTTTAAAAAACACTTAAGGCAACTACCCCCCCTTTTACTTGAAAGTAACGAAAAGACAAAAAGTTAGATTCTTCTAGTTAAAACATGATTTCCCAAACTATCTCCTATCAATTGTGTACACTTCTCTTTTTTTGGCTTACCATGAATATGTCCTCAATGTCCCAGTGTTTTAGCTATAGAATACTGAAATAATAATAGCAGGTAGCACCTACTGAGCATGTGTTATATGCAGAGGTCTTGCTTAGTGCTATGACTGCATCACACCACTCAATTCTCATGGCAACTGATATTGTTGCTGTCCGTATCTTTTTAGAAGAAACTGAGGCTTGCAGAAGATAATTCTCCGAGGCCATGTGTTTGTTAAATATCTGTCATGTCATTTACTTCCTGGAGGTGAACAAGAATGAATGGAAATTTACCAATCAATAGTGTGCCTAAATGTATCCCAACCCTTTTCACTGAGGCCTCTCATTTTATCTCCATAATCACTACTACACTCCATAACCACTAATCCGTAGCGGCGGTGGTCACCGGCGTCCTGCAGGCGTTGGGTGAGGCGCTGTTGGGTGACACTGTTCCTGGGGACACTGAAAGGCCTCGGTGTAGGCTGCAAGGCGGATTGTCATTTGGGGGACTAGATTTATCATATTGACTGGGGCCTTCTAGATGGCTGGCTCAGCCAGGAAAGGCGATTGTTGCCAAGGCCCAGCAGACTTCCAATCCCGGGATCCCCGTGGTGAGAAAATTGATTCATGCAAACTGTCTTCTGACTTCCTCGTGTGTTGCACCAGCGCGCGCGCGCGCGCACACACACACACACACACACACACACACACTAGATTAATGCCTTAGACAGATGCAGCATGGGGAGGTCTGCGAGGACAGCTCAGGCTCAAGAGCAGGGTGTGTTTGGTGGAGGTCGTTCGGAGGAAGGGCTAGGTCCTATGCAGGGAGTTAATTGGGTAGCCACAGTACCAGCTTCCAGCCAGTCTGCCTGCGTTTCCAAGGTGGTGGGGGCACGGGAGGGTCTTGTGTGTCCATGAAACCGGTTTGCCACAAGAAATCTCTGATGTTTAGTTACTAGTCTGTCAGTCTGGGCCTGTGTGGGAGGGGCAGCTGCAGGTGACCTGAGCTGCTTCTGGCCTGGGTTCTCCTAAACCCGAGCGGGGTACCTGGGTCAGACTCAAGTAACTGACCCATCAGAGTCCAGCCCGGGGAACCAGTGAACTTCCTAGTATGCCTTACAGTAGAGGGGAGCATGGGAGGGGGGGGGGCACCAGCAGCTCTGCTGTGCCACCACAAAACCCAGCCGGGTTTGGGTTTGTTACTTTACCGTCTGGCAGATGGGGTCCAATGGCAGATGGCTTTCAGGTAGTGTGCCAGGACTGCGGCCAGCTGAGGCCGGGGAGTTCACCAGGAGGGCATTCGCCCATGGAAAGCTGAGCCTCACTGAGGTGGAAGGACTGGCAGATCTGATCCACGCGGAAACTGAGGCCCAGCGTCGTCAGGCGCTGAGACAGCTGGACGGGGAGCTGGGCCAACTGTGCCGAGGCTGGGCGGAGACCCTCACCAAGGCAAGACCTGCTTGCTCACTTACCATCCCTTCTTTAGAGAAAGCTCTCGGCCTGTGAAATGCCGGAGCACCCATAATGCCTTCCCCTTCTCTCAGGCTCTGGCTCATGTAGAGGCCTATATTGACTTCGGAGAGGATGACAATTTGGAAGAGGGTGTGCTGGAACAGGGTACGGCAGCCTTTGGGGGCGGGGCTAACATCTCAGCCCCCCTGAGGTCCTCCTGATTTGCCTTTCCTCGGCCTGCCTTCTTCCTCTCAGTGGACAGAGACATTCGAGCCCTGGAGGCTGCGCTGGATTCCCACTTGCGAGATGCCAGGCGTGGTCAGAGGCTCCGCTCAGGGGTACATGTTGTGGTGACTGGACCCTCCAACGCGGGCAAGAGTACTCTGGTCAATCTGCTCAGTATGTGGAGTCTGGCAAGGGTGGGCGTGGGCGGGGGTGCAGTGCAAAAGTGGGGGCTCTCACCTCCACTGTACTGCTCTTCATCACACTCCCTACCCTTCAGGCCAGAAGCCTGTATCCATCGTGTCCCCAGAGCCAGGGACCACCCGTGACGTGCTGGAGACCCCCGTAGACCTGGCTGGGTTCCCTGTGTTGCTGAGTGACACCGCTGGGCTGAGGGAAGGCGTGGGCGCGGTTGAGCAAGAAGGTGTGCGCCGGGCTCGCCAAAGGTGGGTGCGGGGTCTGCAGACAAGGTAACCTGGGGCCTTTTTCTCCCCTTAAGCCTACTTCATTATTCCTGAAATAAAAGATTTTGAGCTCCCTCAAAGTTGGGGGTAGAGGGACCTGTAATTTTTTTTTTTTTAAGATTTTATTTATTATATATACAACATCTGCTTCCATGTATATCTGCACACCAGAAGAGGGCACCAGATCTCATAACAGATGGTTGTGAGCCACCATGTGGTTGCTGGGAATTGAACTCAGGACCTCCCCCTCTGAGCCATCTCTCCAGCCCCGGGACCTGTAATTTGATTGAGATGCACACGTGGCTGGTCCCTTACTTTCCTCCACCCCCTAAGCTTTGTTTGGTCACTACCCCTCTAGGGCCATCTCCCTCTGCTCCACTCAGTCAGCTGCACCACTCAAACCCTTCTTCATCAAAATCTCTGGCCTTCAGCTCCTCTGCCGTGCCCGCCCACTGCTCCCTTGCCATGCCCCCAACATTTTCTACCATACCCTCTGCTGTGTCCCACCCATGCTCCTTAACAGACCTAGGCAAGCGTCTGCCTCTGCCCTGGCTTTTTCTCTGACTCATGCCCTGAAGTGTCTGTCCCTCTTCTGCTCAACACCCACAATGCCGTCCCAGGCCTCCATGGCTATGCTCCACAAAATGGCTTCCTCCCCTCCAGGCTGGAACAGGCTGACATCATCCTGGGGGTACTGGACGCCTCCGACCTGGCCTCCCCCTCCAGCCGCAGCTTCCTGGACACTGTGGTGGCCCCACTGGTAGCACAAAGCCCCGACAGTGTCGTACAGCGCCTCCTGCTGCTTCTCAACAAGTCAGACCTGCTTCCCGCTAGTGCCCTGGCTGGCGACACCACCCTATTAGAGACACCCCACCTGCTGCTGTCCTGCCACACCGGAGCTGGGCTGGAGGGCCTCCTGCAGGCCCTGAGAACCCAACTGGCTGCTGTGTGAGTCCCCCTCGGCCTTTTTTAGCTTCCCTGACCCAAGTTCAGGTATAGGCAGAGCTGCTGGCTTTGGGCTCAGTCCTGTCCCTCAGCCTCAGTTTCTCTGTCTGCCGAAGGGGTACAGTGTGGGGCCCTGTTCAAAAGGTGGCTGCACAGGCTAAGTGAGACACTAGGTTTTGTTTCTGGCAGGTGTGGGGACCCGTCCACAGGCCCACCGCTCCTGACCCGAGCTAGGCACCAGCATCACCTCCAGAGCTGCCTAGATGCCCTGAGCCACTACCAGCCAGCCACAGACCTGGCCCTGGCAGCCGAAGCCCTGCGCCTGGCTCGCAGACACCTGAGCCACCTCACAGGTGGAGGAGGCACTGCAGAGGTCCTGGACCTCATCTTCCAGGACTTCTGTGTGGGCAAGTGAGGGCCAGAGCCTGCCACTCAGGATCTCAAAATTCCCACTAGATCTTGATCTAAGATGGCAGCAGTTTACAGGAGAGCCCTAGGGATCCACAGCCCTCAGGCCTGTTCCCTCCACAGTGAACTGAGAGACAGGCGAGGTATACCAAGGTGCCTACCCTCGGCTGCCGAGATTAAGGCCTAAATCACCGTGCCAAGTAAATGTAGTGCTGGAGATGAAACCCTTACAGGGTAGATGCTGAGCCACGCCCCCAGCCCCTCACTGGGGGGATTCTAGGCGGGGGGCTCCACCCTTGAGCCACACCTCTAGCTTCATTTTTTTTTTTTTTTAAGTACCAAAGGAGTATGAAGAGTTCAGGTGATCCAGAAATGTTTGTTCACAAGGACCAGTGAGCCTTACCTTCCAGAAGTTTGCCTATGTGTTTTCTCTCTGTGGCATCATATGTGAATCAAATATATTTATTTATTTATTTTTACTTCTGTAGTAATATGTATTATCTGTAATAAGTTTGCTGTGACATTTTCATCCAAGTATCTAATGTGGCTTGATTGTGTCCTCTACCATCTCTCTCTGTTGTCCCCACTCCTGCTGAGTCCCTTCCTCTTCTTAAGTCGTCTTGTCTGGGATTTCTCTGACCTGTGACGACCACACCATTAAAGAAAGTGTGGTTTCATGCCTCCCTCCACTCCCCTCCCCCAGCCCTTTCACTGCCTGTCAGTCTTCCTACCCACAAGGCCCTGCCTTCTCCTGGACAGAGTGTGAGGGCCTGGGTCTTGTGTGAGTGGCTCTATCATGCCCAGAAACCACCCAATCCTCTGCTTCCTGCACACCCTCCACGCGATTTCCCCAAGACTAGGAGTGATGGGGTCAGCCCTGTTTACCACTGTGCACACCGGTTTCATATTCTCCCCACTTAAACAGAATGACTGCAGTCGCCACTGGCCAATGCGAAAAAGCGACTGGCTACCCCATGCTGCAATCAGACCTGGGTCTACTGAACATTTTTAAAGTTTATGGGGGCACAGCACACATGGGGGGCGGGAAGTCAGAGGACAACTTTCAGGAGTCCTCTGGGAAGGTAACAAAGACCTTGATTGAACTCAGGTCATCAAACTTAATTATATGTGCAGTGGGGGAGGGTGTGTGAGTTTGGGGGCTGCAAACGTTTATCTGTAGAGCCATCTCGCCAGCCCCTTTTTTTTTTTTTTGGTTTTTCAAGACAGGGTTT